TTGCGGCCGTTTTAGAGTATCGTCGTCCCACCACAAAGTCGGAATTGAGGGCGTTTTTGGGACTGGCGGGGTATTATCAACACTACGTCAAAGGTTACTCAAACGTCGCTGGTCCGCTGACGGACTCTCTCCGCAAAACCGAGCCCACCATCATTTCGTGGGACACAAGAAAAGAGAATGCTTTCAAGAGCCTCAAGAGCGCTCTCGCAAAACGACCCGTGCTAGCGGCACCGGACTTTTCTCAGAGTTTTATTATTCAGTGTGATGCCAGTGACCGCGGCCTAGGAGCAGTTTTGTGCCAAAAAGACGCCGAAGGGCACGAGCGGCCAGTTTTGTATCTCAGCAGAAAGCTCAGTGTCAGAGAGGAAGCTTACAGCACTTCAGAAAAAGAGTGCGCCTGCCTTGTTTGGGCAATTGGTAAGCTAGCATGTTACGTCTCAGGGTCGATCTTCATAGTAGAAACTGATCACTGCCCCTTGACTTGGTTGCACAACATGTCGTCTAAAAGCGGTCGGTTACTTAGGTGGAGCCTGACGCTTCAGCACCATAACTTTAGTGTGCGCTATAAGAAAGGGAAGCTGCACACAAATGCAGATGGTCTCAGCAGAGCTTATTGAAGTGCAGCCCAGCTCCCTCATACAAGTTGAGGCACATGCTTCTGGTTTGACGTGTTTCGCAAAATTTTGACGTCTATTATTTCATTTTGATTTAAACTGTATTAACAATGTCGCATTGCACTAACAGATGTAATTTTGTTTGAAGTGTACTCTGATATGTTACCAGGAAGCCCAGCCTCTACCATTCTGGTAAATTGTTCAAAAAAAATGCACAGAATTGGTTTTGGGCTGCTTCAGCAGGTTCCGACCCGCTCGTATGGCATTGGGGATGGTTTCGCGTGGCCTTTCTTGGCATCGGGACTGCGCAGTGTAATCACAGCATTCGTGAGGGCCAGCGTTTTGAGGTCTTTAAGGGATACGTTTCTCGTGCTTTTTAAAACGTACAATAGTAGAGACTCAATAGATCTCTTTGCTGCCTTGGTCTGGCGCTATGAGAGACGTTCAGAGGGTGCTTGCTTCCACGAAAGTGGTTTGGCTTTGAGTTCAACTCCGTCGTCCCAGTGATTCCCTGCAGGGCTCTGAAGATCACCACGGAGTGGCTACAGCCTCAACGGTCAACCAGCATTCCTCCTTCCGAGCCACGCTGACGGCTCAAAACTCCGGATGCATTGTCTGGCGGCGGGGGTGCTGTTGTGCCACCGACAGGTTCCTCGTTCGGCAGCACGTCTCACGAGATCGAGCCCTGTTTCGACGAACTGTCTCCCCCCCCCCCCTCCCAGCGCCGCCTTCTGTGCAGGGGAACCGTGCAGTCCGGGGATAACGTCGTTTCCTCCGCCGGGCCACTTTGCAGTTCCGGGTATGGCTACATCTCCCCCCTCCGAGCCCGAGAACTGGTCCGAGAGAATGGACCAAGGACACTATTTAAGGCCGAGCCGGCCCCATGTTAGAGGATTTTGCCCCAGCCGACGTTGTCGTGCTGGCCGGCTCTGTAAAACGACAACCTGCTACAGTAAATGCTACTTTTGTTGCTGTTTTCCAAACGGATTGCCTCCCTGTTTCACCTTCGGGCTAAGGCTTCATCGAAGTCCGCTCGACGGCTAGCCGCTCTCCGCAACCGCTACCGTCGCGACAGAGCAAAATTCCTAACAGCGGATAGCAGGCGATAGAAGCAAGCATGAGCATAGATTCCCGAGCCTGTAGGTGGTGGTGCCTTCAGTTTTTAACTACGCCTCACTTCCTTTCTACTTTGGTGTTGTACTCTTTTACAAATCGCGAACTTCCCTATACTTCGTTTCACAAGCTATTTATTGGCAGTGCACCCGCAGGTAGAGCTCTCAAGTCTTTTAGCAGTCCAAAACTATTTTGCATATTACAACCACACAGTGTAACAGTATGCTTAGGAAAGATGGTTTAGAGCATGTAGAGTGTTGAAATAATTTATGAAACTAATAAAAAAGCCCGCATGGACGCAGCTCAACGCAGGCTTGTGGTGATGTGGTGTTGTTCCGCCTTTTCCCCACATCAATCGAGCTCACTGTGCCCGAGTTGGTCGTGTGGAACGCGTTCTCCAAACTGTCACCGGTGAGAGTGTGCATCAGTTTCTCGAACTGGCAAAGTTGATGGATTTAAACACTCTTCATGGGCTTCACGTCGAGAGTGCAAGCGAGGTCGCCCAAGTTGCGAGACTGGCTTCCACGGAGGCTGGCAGGCAATTACTAGCGCATATTGGTATACGGTCTCCCATCGCCAGGCAGAGAGAGTACGCGCTCCCTATCAATGTCAGGGAAATGTATACAGTATCTCAGGTACCTAGAAACATGCACCCCCAATAAAACTACGGCATATGCAAAGTAAGGTCCAGAGTCCTTCGAACAGCGGCTACGATTGAAGACAACGTCGCCTTCGTGGACGCAGTGCAATATGCAGCTTCAAATCACTTTGTTTTCAGCAGCTACGTCGTTACGGCGAGAGCTGCTGACATCACTTACGCTTAAAATTTGGATGCCGAAAAAGCCGAACAGGTGGCAGTGATCATCGCCATGGCCACTACGAACCGTTAATATTTACACAGACTCGCGAGCCGCCACTAGAGCACTTATGAGAGGCTCGGTGTGCAAAGAAGCCACTCACGTTCTCTCTGCTGCATCTTGGACAGGAAAAAAGCATATAATTTGGTTTCCTGGTCACGTGGGCAGTGATACTGATCCCAAACGCCAACGAACTTGCACACTCCCAGTCGCCCCGCCGCGGTGGTCTAGTGGCTAATGTACTCGGCTGCTGACCCGCAGGTCGCGGGTTCGATTCTTGGCTGCGGCGGCTGCCTTTCCGATGGAGGCAGAAATGTTGTAGGCCCGTGTACTCAGATTTGGGTGCACGTTAAAGAACCCCAGGTGGTCAAAATTTCCAGAGCCCTCCAATACGGCTTCTCTCATAATCAAATGGTGGTTTTGGGACGTTAAACCCCACAAATCAATCAAATCAACACTCCCAGTCGCGAGGTCTCACTCACTGCACCGGAAGTGGGCACTCGGAGGACGAGGGAGGGCTGTGGCAAAGGGACCTTCTCACATTTAACGAGGTCTGTAACCACTATCAGCTGGGGTGTCGGAAATTTCCGCTTCCACACCCACACCTAAACAGATCACAGGCAATCACCCTGCGAATGTTACAAGCAAACACGTATCCATGTCTGTTTATTTGGTCGAAATTTATAGACTGAATAGACTCACGTTGTCGGCGCTGTGGTCATCCGAGGTGCTTCCTTCAGCATATGCTGTGGCAGTGTCACGACTTGCGCGGGGGTCAGGGTCTTCGACCACTGAGGAAGACTGGCTCCAGCTCATCACGAGCTCCCAAAAAGGACCAGCATCTAAGGGCTGTCTTGGGAGCCCGCGAAGTAGTCGAGAGCCTGAACCTCCCGGTGCCATCGTGGGTGGGGCTCCCCGACGGTACCTCTTGACGGGGACATTCTCGGCTTCTCAAGGTGAGCGAACGAACGCTTTATAGGTGGGAAAACGCTGGCGGATTGCGCGTGCACTGTCCTCCCACCGAACAGGCGTTCTTGTGGGAAAGGCCATGATCGAGCTAAGAAGCTGGATGATTTTGACCAAACCATCTTTCTGTGTGTTGTGCAGACATTTCTGGAGCGAGATGAACTGTCGCCTAGGTGGTACAGCGTTTCGAAAAGGACGAGACGTTGCCGACCATGTTCAGAGCAACGATGTAGAGTTCGCTGAGGCAGCTTAGCTTCTAGTACAAGGAGCGCTCTCTGAACGAGTTTCTCATAGAAGCGATGCCCATTGTGCAATTTCGCCGCCGGTTTCTGTGGAGCTACGACACCAAGTTTAAGTTGAGATGAGGATGTGAGATAGTTTGCCAATTTCCCGTCTTGTGACTGAACTTCCAACTTTAATAGCAGACTCTTTATGAAACTAGTGAGATTATCGTTCATTGTGTCAACGCTAACGTTGGTTATCTCATTTAGTACCTCGAATCAGTTCTGAACTGAAACTCTAAATTCCTATATTTTTCCTCTGACCACCAGTTAATTAATTGCCTTCTTGCGTATCAGTTTGTGTCTTTGCTTTTTTAAATCTAGGTGAATACGAGGGCTTACCACTCAATGGTCATTGAATCTTATCTTGCCAACTACTTCTACATTCTGTACAATATCTGAATGTGCACACAGACTGAAGTCGATTTCATTTTTAGTTTCGCCATTATGACTTCGGCACGTCGAGTGACGGTTAGTTCGTGTTTTGAAGAAGGTACTCATAATCCTTAAATTGTAAAGTTCTACTAACGTTACTAACAACTTCCCTAAGGTCTTTCTAAATCCGATGCCATATTCCCCCACTGCATGATCTCCTGCCTGTTTCTTGCCTACTTTGGCATTAAAGTCACCCATAAGAATAGTATACTGTGGCTTTACTTTATTAATGGCTGTCTCTACGTCTTCATAAAAGCGTTCAACGAAATGATCATCATGACTTGATGTAGGCGTGTAGGCCTGTACCACTTTCTACTTGTACCTTCTATTAAACTTAATTATAATTCGCGTAGCAACACTAGTTGAAGTGCGCTGCATCATGATTGGCTGAGGGCACCCGTACCTTTCACAGCATTGCCAACAGCTCGTGAAACGGAGTATACAGTAAGGAAATTTCAAGAACACAGGTACAGGCTTTCTGAGCATGCTGGCGTCACCGGAACAACGCTAACGCTGTATCGCCCGTGTGCTATATGTGCAAAGCACAGCCATTTCCCGTCACGATGCAGTCTTTATATAAAAATTACCTAAACAGCTGCTGAGAAATCGCAACTTTTTTTTCGTTGGTAAGTGCAGTTTGCTTCTGAGTGGGTGCTTTATTACGATTGGCTAAACATCTGGCGCAATCAGCACGAATCAAATTGGCGAATTCCAGAGATTGTACGTTTTCTCACCACGAAATAGTTTTGCCCCAACAAACGGGTCACCACGTCAGAGCCAAACACACGGGCTTGGGCGTCGTACCGCGTAAGCTCCTATGAAGGGAAAGAGAAAAGGCAAACTATATCAGATAATTTCAGTAGTATTAAATGCATAGAAGGGAAGTTTTGCTAAACTCACTCAAATAATTAAAACTTCATAAAGACAAAGTCACTGTTTAACAGCAGATGGTGAAGTTTAGCGGTACTCAGTAACCACTTACCTCAATACATTTCAAACTTGAAGTTGTTTAATTTTGCTACACAAAGTAGAAAAACAATGACCCTTGAGATATAGTTGGGATGATGAGTGGGCTACGTACGTGTAGTTTGACCGGCCCCACCTCCCAGTACCCTGCAGAGGACACTTTAGCAAGAGTAAATAAAAACTGTACACAAACAATGTTGGTTAAATATTGTGAACACATTGCGAAAAGCAAATGAAACCTGCACACAAAAGCTAACAACAGCAATATTTCTTGAATATTACACGTAAAATGAAGGCTTCGTGAATTTTCATATATAACCAGATAAAGCGAGACAGTAAACTATAACAAAATATTATACAAAAAGCGCGTATAAGACATTGCTTGAAAATACATCAAATATATCCGTCATCAGGTCAATTTTGCTTCAAACCCGAGGGATGGCAGACTGATCATTTGCAAACCACAGTTTGTTCGTGGTTGTGGCACATTCCACAGCTTGCGTGGGTAAAGGAGCTCGAAGAAGCGTTTGGCTGTGTGCTTAGAAAAAGTGGTTAAGGATTTATTGTACTAGGTACGCTACTATGGGAGAACACAAAGCCGTAATACTATTGCCGCGAGCATTTCTTATTTTTCCTTTTACTTCTTTCGGTTTTCGCCTGAAAAGCCTGTCGGAATGCTCAGTGCAAACTGCACCTAATTGTTCGTTTGCAGTGCTATCCAGTGCTGGTAATATGAGTAAGTATGACAGCCTATGTTAGTCAAATATATTCCTCATGCTTATTTAAATGTTGTTGATGAGATAGGCACAAGTATAAGTTGTTTCCAAAAAAAAACATTGCAAAAATATAGCGTTTCCTGTGGCCATCAAATGATTTACCTGCAACAAAGCAAATGCCCTATTTGCCACTGCAGTATGTACCCTGGCATAGGCACGTGAAGGATTTCGCATTACGAAAGGCAAAACTTCACTGCATGGCCCATCCCCCTTCTGCTTCGTCCCGCCCCATTGATGAATACGAAAAAAAATCGCTTCTGAAATGCTGGAAAGATGAAAATTAAGCTCAGGTTCCCTATGTTCCAGACAGCAAAGGTTGGAAATAGAGCATCGAAGCACCCCTCAGCTTTGTGTTTCAGAGTTAAACGCGACAGCAATCTCCGCGCGCGTGCGCACACACACACACACACACACACACGCACACACACATGCACACACACACACACACACACATGCACACACACACACACCGGCATACGAGCGCACGCAAACAGCGTAGAAAGATATACACACATATTAAGAAAAACGATTTTATACGCTTTCTAAACTTTCTACGCATTTGATTAAAACTTAATTCACTTGAAAATCGCCGTACCTCCTTCGTGCATGCATTGCGTTTTTTTCGCGATTTTTTGAAACTTGAATAAAGTTTGATCGTACAAGTGAATCTGTTATACTGTAATGTTAGGTAATGCATTTATATGGCAGCACATGTTAGCTAAAACGCCACAGAATTTAATTCTACAATATTAGCTAACGCAACAAAAGCCTAATGATGCAATTTTGCAATGCCATGGAACATGTGGTCATCATTAATAACAATGTCACGATTGTTGAAAAGGGGAGCAAGCCTGTCCCGGGTGAATAAACATTTCGAATAAACGTAATTAGTGTTCTAAAGAGCTATAACTCACTAACACAATTGGCGTACGAAAACCAATAAAAGTGTCAAGTAGGTGTCTCTTAAAGTTCACTCTGCAAATTCATTATGTACTGCCTGTATACCCGTCCAACCAAAGCGCTTACCATTGCGTTGGCGTACACCTCTGAAACCGCTTCCTTCTGCGGGAGGCATTCAAAGGCGTCGAAGTAAAACCATTGGTGAATGGGAGTGAACTTGCCACTGCACGCCTGCATGGCATAAAAGAAAAATAGAGTTTGAAAGACGCAAGGCAGTTTACAAAGTAACATCGTACCCTTTATAGTTAGGGCTACATATAGAGCTCACCTTCATGACTTCCTGGGCAGCGACACTGCCGATGACGGACTGCACTGGACACAAGGAGCCTGATGAGACACAACACAGCAGCGTGATAATCCTCTCGTCAACCTCGCTAAGAGGGTTGGTCTGCAGTGCGTTCTTCTCCTTGGCCATCTGTACCACTTCCGCTGCGTCGGTCTGCGGCCACACAATAAACGGCCATTGTAAACGATATTGACTCACAACATAGTGTTAAAAGCATAGTTCTAAAGGCCTAATAGTTTGGCGATGTTATGGGACAAAGTAAGGGGATCGAGGAAGGGTGTCAAATAAGCGACACACTATGTGGTGCAAAGGTGTTTCTGGCACCTTCTGACACCCTGTCTTTCCTACGTGGGTACATTGGTATTATTCAGGTTGTGACCATACAATAAATCGTCAACACCGTACAATAGACGATCAGTCAGTGAATGCGTTTCGTTCTTGTGTGTTATGTAGCACCGTCACGTTTCTATTCGCTGAGACCTAAAATGAGCAGTTCCGATTTACCCAACAGCCGGTTCTGTTGAACAAGCTATACTGTTACACTTGCACTGTCAGGTCTCGCGAGACGTTCGACGTCTGCATTTCTACTAGGGCTCTCCAAGTGTGCTTTCTGGCTTCAGGAAGCCAACTAATCTATAATGAGCGCATCAATACGTGACAAATATTTTAATTCATTTGGCGATTTGATGTATCACCTTAATGTCGTCCAAATTACTAACTGTCAGTTCTCGCAGTTATGAAGACTGATCTGATGTGACATAGGTACTGATGCTACTGTGACAATTCTTTCCTTTGCACTCTTCCACTAAAGTTAATAAAGGGTGGCAGTCATAAAGAACAACTAAAGGAAATCTGCGAGAGAAAGTCACTACATTTCAGGTCACGATCCACGACGACTGCTTAGAACCTCAATGCTTCATGGAGTGCTAGGGTAACAACTGCGTTCGATGCTTCCTTACCATGTTCCATGAAAGTGGCAGTCGCTGGTGCGCCTCCTGAAAGGCATGCAGAACCTGGAAGCCCAAATGCAACTGTGCGCCGCGATTTGCATTCGCCGAGTCACATGTGCTGAACTCGGGGTTCACCAGGGATTCCTTCAAGGGTTTCTGGAGAAGACAAAAAAGAAGGATCGTCATAGGAAACATCTGCGTTGAACATAATATACCTCACATCTAAATACAAGTTTAAAATTTTTGTTGATTAAGAGTTCTGTGCGACTAGGAATTCGGCTTCACTAATTAGGCTGTACGTAAAGCGTCACGAGTGCGAATAAGTTACGAACTTATTGTTACGAATTTATTGTTTGATGTGGAACCTTGGTTTAAACTTGATGTCGGGGAGACATTATCGAAGAAGTACCGGCTTTAGCTTGTAAGATCTGATTTGACAAAGTGTGGCAGCGGGGCTCGGGTGCACGCTCGCCAATAGCACGATGCTTAGAATTTCCTAAAATCAAATAGAAGGGGCTATGGTTGGCGCTGCGATGGTTCAGCCACCATGGCTCTAATGAATAGTATACAGATTTACTTTGTCTTCATGCTTGCCGGATTCGAATGCACTTGTGGCTTTGTCTACTGCAGTGTTTTGGTCTTGTTTTGAATGAAAAAATGAACCATTGTGGATTTCGTGACCCGATTTTAATTGGTGACCCTGAAAGGTTGAGGTGGTGAAGTGCAACTGCTGAAAATTTGTCAATTTTTGGTTCGTGATAAAGCAGCTCCTAGCCAAGTGAAGCCAAACGAAGTCGAAAGAACGAAGATTAGACCAATTCGTGGTGTACCCATCATTACCATGCTCGCTGAAGATTCGTGCGTTGCAGCTCCCAGACACTAGTGCCAGAGTTCCATCTCATGCATTTATAAGAATTGTTGTCGAGCGAGGAAAAGGAAAATGAACCTCTGGGGTTAAGAGCAGCTGACCAACAATCGTGTGTTCTATTCAAGGAGGTTTTAAAAAAATTCTGGAGTGGAAGCTCCCGCAATGCTTTGCCAGCAATAGTGAAGCCAGCGTTTGCCCTTCAAAGATTTCAGAAACGTGCTATATTTTGTTTTCAGACAGTAAGCGGCTTAGATCTGTTATCTATAGGCTACGTTAAGCACAAATTAAAAGATATTCGTTTCTAATGAAATAACCCACCGAGACAAGTATCGGTGACTTTCTCTCCAAAAAAAAGTTGCCTACAGTTTAAGGCTTACTAAAGAAAACTGGAAACAGAAGGGCGTATTTAGAGTACTGTCAGACTAAAAAAAGTTTGCCACGTTAAAGGGGTTGTGAAACGGTCGCTTTACAACGACAATGATCTTTATAATCTTTATAAGACGCCGTAAACTCGTGCAGGTCGCATAGTAGAGTACAAAGTACTCTGAATCGTTGAACACTGTCTCTAAACACACATGTACCATCGGCAGCCACATGCGCTAAATATTCGCAATGTTCATAGAGTGCCGCGACGTCTAAAGGAATTCAGGAGCATCTTATCATCGATGATCAGCAGGCAGACGATCCCAAAGCTGCCTTGTTCGGTGGGGCTAGCCGCAGTGTTAACACGCTAGCAAGAAACGAGCATAAACCACTTTGTATGTTTCGTGCATCAGTGAATATACCGGACCGATCGTGACGTGATCAATCTGATTCATTTTTGCGAGACGCGAAGTTTTCCTGAAAATACGTGGCAACTTGCGCTTTCGATTATAGCCCGCATAGTACACATATCAGCTTCACGAGGTTCTCTGCAGCCGCTTTGGATAGTTAAATATCAACTTCTGACCATTTAAGTTAAAACTCATCTTGTTTTACGTGCGTATAGCATTTGTCAGTGTTTTTGTAGTGCATGAATCCCATAACATTCATTGTACGCGGGAAGTAGCGCAGGCTAGCGATTTGCACTTCCAAACCTGGGCCTACGCTGTGCGGCTCGTTTTTTACGTTCGTTGATACATGGCAGCACACTGTAACGACTCCTCTTTTGCCGGATATTGGAGCGAAATGATCTCCGCACCCACAGATAAACGTGATGAGTGACACTGTGGGGAGGGGGGGGGGGGTCGTGCGTGGTGAATGACGCATTGTTGGTGCTATCGAAGTCGTTTGGCGCAGATACTTCCTCAGATTACTTTCATCAGTTATGTTGATTGATTGATTGATTGATTGATTGATTGATTGATTGATTGATTGATTGATTGATTGATTGATTGATTGATTGATATGTGGGGTTTAACGTCCCAAAAGCACCATATGATCATGAGAGACGCCCTAGTGGAGGGCTCCAGAAATTTCGACCACCTGGGGTTCTTTAACGTGCACCCAAATCTGAGCACAAGGGCCTACAACATTTCCGCCTCCATTGGAAATGCAGCTGCCGCAGCCGGGATATGAACCCGTGACCTGCGGGTCAGCAGCCGAGTGCCTTAGCCACTAGACCACCGCAGCGGGGCAGCAGTTATGTTCAAAGAAACCATCTTGACGTCGAAGATTTTTCAATGGACGTAGATGGTTGTCAACGCGCTGAGAGTGACAGCGACGATGAACGATCAGCTGCTAGCTCACGAACAGAGAGTTGCACTTCACGTCCCGTCGTGCGTCAATGGTTTTTAACGCTCGTAAGTCACTTTGATTGTATTTATTGTATAATATCCTTCAGCGTGCTCAAAATGAAAACATTCTTTTTTTGTGCATTGAATGTATCCCAATTACAGTGGATATTACAAAGCGTCGCATACCGCCAACACGCTCGAGCTCGACCAGCGGAGCGAAATGGTTAGAACAATGAAATATTCAATTACGACTACAGTCTATACTAACTTCTTCTGCACTTCACTGGTGCCATCCGAACGACGTTGTTATGCGACAAATTTGCGCAATTTAGACGTTGCGAAAATCGTACGCGCATATTCGTTTCGCTATCCTTGTTTCGATCCCGCTGATGAAACCTGCAACACCCAAGTGCAGAGAATTGCGCACCGTTAAAGTCTGATCATGGTTGTGACACAAGTGCTGCTTAATGGGAAGTTAAATGTTTGCGTTTCGTTCAAGAAGCAGCTACACGATGCACACAGCGTAAGTAATGACGGCGTAATACTTTCGCAAACCATCTCTGCGTTACACATTCGTTCCTGTGCAGCCGCGACGGCACACTATTCGCTAGTGGCCTTCTACTGCGGCAAATCTGCCTGACAGGCTCGGCACAAATGGTCTCGGAGTGCCATTCAGTTAATACGCGAATTCTGGTTCGCGCAGTTTTCTGTAGCACGCACAGAATTACGCAAAGCATCGTTGATACACGGTCGATCAGCTGACACCACCACCCTTTTCACTGCGGCAAAAAATGAGGTAGCGAACATTCAGCAGTTCCTATTGGTCGGGAAAGTACTTTGGTTCGATACATTCATTTGACGATCAAGAGTTCATCCGGTGAAAGTGGCACGGGATGTACGTCTACGAGTCCTATCTTTTCCTATGCGAGTTCACGGGTTGATCATCCTTCCGCCGCCATCTTTCATTGCACGGCGTGCCACCTATAGGACGTGGGCATTGCGAATATAATCAGCCCGAGTGGACCTGCATAGACGCTTTGCCTATCGGGGAACGCGGAACTCTACCGCATATCGGGCGCGGGCAAAAGGCGCCCATCGGCGACTGCCATACGCGATACGCGTCCCACAAGAACACTGCTCAATATGACGTCAGAGTTCAAGTTAGCGCCAAATTCCTATGGCAGAGACACTGATAGTTGTACAAATTGCACGCACTTGCAAGTACCGGAGAGTTTTACGTTCATCGATAGGGAAAGCATACTTATGATGACGTCACCTAATTAGTGCGTCTGGACGCCGGTGGTTTCGCATTGTCGTTTTAAAGCGAGAGTTTCATGGTCCCTCTAAACTCGCTGGGCGTGTGAGGAAAACGCTCTTTCTTTATGGCCGAATGCGAACAGCTCGTCATGTCAATAGTTTGTATGATGGCTGCCGCAGCCACCATCATACACTGGGTATGGTTTCACTCGTGGGCGAAGATTTCCACTCCAGCATTTTATTTAAAACCTTCTTGGTTGCACCTGTCTCTCTACGCTGCTGTATGGTTTCACTCGTGGGCGATGATTTCCACTCCAGCATTTTATTGAAAATCTTCTTGGTTGCACCTGTCTCTCTACGCTGCTATGGCGCAGTCAACAGGACACACACAAACACCATTACGGGAACCCGTGTATACTGCAGTCGATGTTCTTTGTTGCGACGAAATTTGTACTTTTATTTTTTTTTCGAAAAGTTCAAGGTACCCTCATGAATACGGGATACGAAACCCACCATAAATAAGGAAAACTTCTCATTTCAATTTCAGGTATAAAACGGCAGAGATAAGAATCCTATTTATGGCGAAACCTGTTGAACGCCTTTCCACTCCGAGCAATTACTTTGGCAAGTGGATATTAAGGAATCACAAAACACAGGAATCACAAAGGAATCACAAAATGAATCAAATTAAGGAATCACAAAACACATGACGTAATACATCGCCCCATTTATCCCTATTATCAGCTTTCGCATCACTGCTAACTTTCAATGCGCCACGGCTCCCTGTTCCTTGTAAGAGGTAAAGATCCTCAGAGGTCGAGCATTCGGCATTCACGTCAGCGTTTACGTCCTAGCATTTCTGTGTGGTTGAAACTGAGATTTGAGAATGTGTTACTATATAGCGCTTTTTCTGTGCTAAAAAGCAGTCGTCAGACTAAGTGAGTGAACAGATATCCCTACATGCAGTTTTTCCGGGAGGCCTATGTGTTTGCGTAGACGAGAGCAATTTGAGATGGAAAACTGAAGTTGACTTTTAAATGCCGCAGTGGCTAAGTGCAGTTTGCAAATGCAAATGTGTTCATAATACCAAATGCTCTATTGGTTAGGTATCTCTTTAGAGTCAATGCATCGTATTGATAGCAGTACATTACACGTATTTGCTAAACATGAATTTGGTGATCACGCGCACAATGCACGTGTAGTGGCCGCCAGGTGACAGCTTCTACTATGGTTAGCTTATTACTGGTTATTTTTGCTCAGATCGTTAGCCTCACGTTATCTCAGCTTTTTGAGTGCATTTATATAACCAAATATGCATTCCATCTCATGAACTAAATATTTTTTTCAATATAGCTTTATGCACACGAAATGCCTTCGCACATCGATTCACGTTCAGTCATGGTCTGGTAGCTATACTGTGCAAGAATAAAGACCGCTGCTTACAAACTTGATGTCCTTCGGCATCTTAACCTCGGTTGCAAAGCCCCCTGTTGCTTCATCACTGTAGTTCTTCGGAAGCTGAACGGAGAATTCATGTGGACCTGGATAAAATGAGAAAGAAATGACAAAGTAAGGATTTCACAACTGCTTTCGTTGGCAGTACGACAGGACAACAACTCCATTACCGTTGCATTACACCTGTACGGCAAGTTGAAGGTCACTTCGCACGGCTGGAAAAAGCGGCAGCCCCCTTGAACTCTATAATACCACTATCAATATTTTGCTATTATTATAACCAGAACTTATGATATCTTACAAATAATGGGGTTTTATGGCGATTACGATGATCTTCGGAAGTGAAGAAATCCGCTCCACACTGTCGGACACGGGCCTTTCGGGCCATGACTTAACATTCGTGGTGTCTCACAATTGTCGGTAAATTAACACTGCAGATATTGATGAGAAAGTGAAGAAGGATGTTCATTGAGGACGAGCAGGTAGTGTTTCGCCACTGAATTTCCACTTCGGCTTTGGAATAAATTAAACCTTCAATGTCCTTGTAACGCCTCGCGCGCTAGTCGTTAGCCGGATGCGTCGAGTTATATTCATTATTTAAAGGTAATGGGTGCACATAACATATACTTTAAGCGTAAGAATGGCATGATAAAATATACACTCATGTGGCGGACAGTCTGAGTGTCATTTAAAAAAGTCTCCGAAGAAGTAAACATCAGGCGCATGCATATACAAATAGTAAACAAAAAAACGTCAATTAAAACAGGTAATATTGCTTGCGTTATCTTGAGAGCGGCAGTGCAATGTTTAACATAACACGAACAGACTAATAAAGGGACGTGTCTGTCTGCCCAAGATTCCTATATTTCGTGCTGTTTTTCTCGAGATAATGTACAACAAACTAGCCCACCAGAACTAAAGCAGATTCGTACACATATACGTAATCTAATAAGAAGTGCTTCTTGCTGAAGAAGGACAACAATGAAATGGTACAGCCCTGCGTTCCTTTCTCCATATGAAACGCATCCGTGAATTCCCAGAACACTTGGTCATCGACTCTCCCAAGGAATCTATTCTGCGTCTACCACGATACACTTGCCCTTGAGCCATAGTGGGACAAATGTTTCTGATGAATTTCTTAACGAAGTTTCGTGTTCGCTTGAGTGATCGTAACCACAGCGTATGCGGCGCCAAGAGTGCAGGCAAAAAAAATTGCCCGCAGCTTCCCTCGGGGGAACACTGAGGAGGATGTGGAGCATATAATTGGTTAACGGGGTGTTAAAGTGCGACTTACTTGGGTCGATGGCTAAATTGGTTAACGTGGTTGTGAAATGGGGTGTTAAATTGCGACTTACTTGGGTCGATGGCTAAATTGGTTAACGTGGTTGTAGGAGGGGGTGTTAAATGAGTGAACACGTACACACGTATGCGAAAGGGCGGCGCTGGTCGAAGGGACGTCGATCATTGTGTTTGTGGATTCGTTGGAATTCATTTCACCGCGACCTTGGACGTCGACGCGCCATACAAACCAACCGACGCGCGGCAACTGAGCGAGCGAGCTCTGACCTTGAGTATATATACAGCGCGACGGCGCATGCACTGTCAGCTGTCGAATGTTCGAGAAGGGGGAGAAGCGCAACGGCGCATGCGCGCGCGTCAGCTGCCGATGTTCTCGAAGCGCGATGGCGCATGCGCGCGCGTCAGCTGCCGATGTTCTCGAAGCGTGACGGCGCATGCGCGCTACATTATACAGCTAGCGAATGTTCGTGAAGAGGAGAAGCGCACGCGGTGTGTAAGGAGGAAGGGTGCACAGATGGTGGAGGAGTGAAGCGCGCGCGGTGTGTAGAGAAGGAAGGGATGCACAGATGGTGGAAGAAAGAGGAGGAAGCTTGCGGACGGCGCCGCACTACAAGCCTCGAGTATTTAGATGCTCCGCATCTAAAACCTCTCGCGTGTCCTAATGAGAATTACGGTTGCACCACCGAAAGAGCTTATCAGGCGTCAAGAATACCACAGCTAAGTTCTACCCACTAAGCACATTTTTTTCGAGATGTTTTTTTTTTAAATTTTTTCGTAATAAATAATAATAATAATAATAATAATAATAATAATAATATACAATTGAGATTGAACGCCCTGAAACTTGTGGCGGCTGCATTTTCTATGGAGGCGGAAATGTTGTAGGCCCGTGTGATCTTATTTGGGTGCAGGTTAAGAACCCCAGGTGGTCGAAATTTCCGGAGCCCTCCACTACGGCGTCTCTCATAATCATATGGTAGTTTTGGGACGGTAAACCCAACATGTCAATCAATCAATCTGCCGCTCTTTAGCCGCACAATTCAAGTACATGGGGCTGAAGCATTTGCGCCTCCATTGAAAATGCGGAGGCGCAAATGCTTGCGCTCGTGTCTTTCGTGTCCTTCTTGTCTCTGTGTCGTCGTTTTGTACTCGCACTATAACTATCGTTATCGGAGGCCACAGCCGGGTTTCCAAAGCGCGACGTTTTAGTACTAATCCTAACCGTGACCTTTACGTCGTAGTTTTAACCACCAGACCACAATGGCGGGGTCAGATCAGATTATCGACAAACCCACGGCCCTGACTCTGAGTTTTTAAGATTTACTCACTTTGCTCGGCATTCGTAGTTCAGTCTTTGATGGCTCGATTTCTGCATTTTTCACTGGGACAAAATATACAGCAAAAGAATCTCCACTCACACGACACCTTGATCTGCATGGGTGGACAGGCGTTGATCTCGGTCGCGCCCCGGACTTCGGAAAACGTGATGTAGGTGCCGTCCTCGAGACCATGCGGTGTTCTGTCCACGGTTCGGACCACTCCATCCTTCTTGTGCGTACGCATGCAATGCAAGAAGACGATGTTATTGAGTGTATTATAGTAGTGATCTAACAGTTATGCTGTGAAGTGCTTCCACGAAAGTATTCAGCTCCGTTCCTTCAATGACAAGAAAACCACGTTCCTTAAACTGAAGGAATCAATTGGCGTCGAGTTGTTGCCAGCTTAGCAACCTGTGCAGCTAACGAATGTCTGTCATCGAAGACACAAAAAAGTGTATCACTGAAGCAGCGTATATGACGAGAAACACTAAATTGGAAGTTTTTATAACAAACCAAAGGCACCTTGACCGTATCGATCTAGACGCCTACATCAGGGTGATTTCGTGTTCAGCTCGATAACTTGGTGCGCACTAAAACTTTCATTGGAAGACATGAAAGTATAAAGAGCATGATGAGTGGGTCAGTATACGCATACGTCATCGAACCCTTTCTCTCTCGTCATGCGTGGCGCAAACCGCAATATCGCAGCCTGTTTGTGCGGGGATGTGGAAGAAGAAATCAATTCTATGACGGACTCCCTTCTGGTCTGGTAGAATCACTGAACAAGAAGCGAGAATGCATATACAATAAATAATGTACAGAAGTTTCGGCATCCCTAACGGGATACGCTAGGTGGATTTCATGGCGGACAATTGTGCCGACTGAGACGTTCTCGCTACGACCACCACTCCTCGATCATGCCCACCCCCCCCCCTTCCGCGCATTTATCAAAACATCTACCAACCTTTTACCTTTCTCTTCAAGTTTTTTTCTCTCCCTATCTCTTTTGATACCTCCTTATTCCTTACATTTTGAGCTACTGCTGAGGTGTGACACTTTGATGCAGACAGTTGCGGGACTCACTTTTTGGTTTTCCTATCAAAGAACCACTACCCCCCCCCCCCCCCGAACAGGAGCTTGACACAATCCCAAGGCCCCCAACAAGGCTATTGTTCTGCGTGCCGAAACTTCAATGCAAAGTTTTTTTTTTTTTTTTTTGCTCTTGTCAGCGTACTCGTCTTTCATTTCTTTGTATCGGAGTGTGCAGCCGATTTTCCGCTTCCCGGCCGCATTCCAGTGAGAATAAAATACAACACCAAGCGTGTAACTACATACACGTACTAGTAAATTAAAAACGTCAAGAGGTGAATATCAATTTGGTTTTCCCCACTTTGAAGCGTGCCTTCTAATGATGTCGTTTCGGCACGGATGAAACACCTGCCACTTGACAATTGTTAGACATAACAATATATAAAAGTAACAGGCTGGTATTCTAGCAAGCATAAGCACTAGTAAATAGTTTTAACGAAAACCAGGAAAAGAGCTATACGAATAAGATGTGCGCGTTCGAGCCGTGCATCTGTTATCTTTAGAAAAGCGGCTTCATGTCGATAGAAATTATCTGGCAAAATTATCTTTAGCATAGCCGAATGGTGTTGCCACACACCTCACTGATGGAACTGATCATAACCACCCGCGGTGTCTCTCCGTCGGGGTCAAGCACGCGGAACGTGTCACCAAAGTCGCAGAAGATTTGCCTGCGAAGAGAACAAGCAACGCTGGAGACATTAGCTTCGAATCAGTGAAGCAACTATGAGATGCACCGGGAATCACACTCACAAATCACGTGAGGCCGTAGTAGTTCAACTAACCAGGCTAGCTTTGACATAATAACGATGGTCAGTGCAAAGACGAAAAGATACCGAAAATGTGCACGACCCACACTACCTGTACATCAACTGAAATTATATAAAAAAGCAGAATATTTGAGTACACAAGATTAGAAGTTGTCTCCTAAGGTTACACCTATCATTTCACCTTAAGAGATAGGGAGAGATCAGAGAGGGAACAACTGAACATGGACCCGGAGCCTGTCGCGTACGCAGTATAACCACAGGTCATTAATAATAACTGACTTGATTCAAAGACACAGCAAACGCGTAAGATCGATACGGAAATTAGGTGAGCAGATGATATTAAGGTACAACATAACACCGGAAAGCACAGGACAGGGTTTATTGGTGGAACGTGGGAGAGGCCTTTGCCCTGCAATGGGAGTAGTCAGAATGATGATAATAGACGCTAAGTCTACAGTGATAAAATATTATCAGCGCCCTCCTTCTAACTCAAATAGTCCGTGTTTTTTTTTCTATAGAATGATGATAATAGACGCTAAGTGTACAGTGATAAAATATCATCAGCGCCCTCCTTCTAACTCAAATAGTCCACGTTTTTTTTCTATAAAATTTACAGTTCACATAGAGTGCTTTTGTCGTGTACGTTGTTTGGTCACTTGTCTTGTTTGAGCTTGCCGTTGTGATCATGAGCCCGCATTCACAAACAGCACCTTACCCTAGGTTTTTCCAGAAGACAAAAACTTTATCTATTTCTGAAGTTTGGCGTAGTATTAGCCCAGGTGGTTGTCCTATCGCATGAGGAGCTTACTAAATATACGCTTTAAGAGAAGGTCCTCTGTGTCGTAAATATTTATGAATACTCCCGGCTGATTTTGGCTGTTGCATTCATGTCCACGATATCTATGTTTACTTATATATAAAAAACACAAAGATAACTATGAACCAGTAAAAAAAACATTTTGAAGAAAACATATCGGAGATACGTACCAGCGACCTCTCGCTTCACAGCCCAGTGCACTACGGCCAACAGAGCCCCGGGCCACGCTTCTTTCAGTTATATAACAGCGAGCTATTCATATGCACCTATTACCGCTCACGGTACACAGATATAGGAACAGCTTGAGCGTGTTTTCTATCACCAACGCTTTTACAGTTACTTGAAATCGAAAACTGCTCTTGGGAAGCGCGCGGGAATGTGGCCGTCTTATGTATCCCTCACGATGTAGAAGGAAAAAGAAAACTCTGGGCGCACTTAAACGCGCACTTGGCTTCAGGAGCCACGGCGTGGAAAGAGACGTGGAAAAATCATTCCACGGGCCGCAGTAAAAAAAAAAAAGAAACATTTAACAGAGTCAGCTTCTACAATGGGGGCTTTTGCAGCGTGTTCTTCAAATACAAGTATCTAAGAGCCATGACAGCCCCGCCACGGTGATCTAGTGGCTAAGGTACTCGGCTGCGGACCTGCAGGTCGCGGGATAAAATCCCGGCTGCGGCGGCTGCATTTACGATGAAGGCGGAAATGTTGTAGGACCGTGTGCTCAGATTTGGGTGCACGTTAAAGTACCGCAGGTGGTCAAAATATCCGGAGCCCTCCACTACGGCGTCTCTCAAAATTATATGGTGGTTTTTGGAAGTTAAACCTCACATATCTTTCAATTAAAAGCCATGACAACAGTTACTTCACATTTTCATATACAGTGTATACGTATGCGTCACTTTCGATTTTATTTCTTTGTGATGCAGTGGCATGCTGAAAGTATCCAGCAGCTTTATATTGTAATTTCTTGCTATCGCAGTCATTGCTTCACCCTAGTAGAGAAACCGTGACTTTTTCTAATAAATGTTCGATAATGCACGCTCTGCCCGCGAAACGCTTCAAATAGAAGGACTTATTTTCATTATATACTTTTTGGACTGTATTGCATTTCAATTCGCACTGCATCGATTTGCATATTGTATTAGGTCGAACCCCGCTACAACGAAACTGAAGGGGCGCGGCAAAACTTTTGTTGAAGTGAAAATTTTGTTGTAGTGAAATAAAAAAAATATATAGCCGATCTGAACTAGCAAAGCAAAGGAACGTTTATTCTCAAAATTCAAAAAATGTCCGCTGCTTTCTATTCTATCCCAACAGTGTCGCGACGCGATTCTCACCTATGCATAGCGAGTCCATGGTGAAAAGCACGCTGAAACAATGACTACAACTGCTTTCGTGAACGAACCAAACAGTTGCATTGACACGTTAACGTCATCAGCTGCCCGCCGTCAAAACGCCGAGATGGCAGCAAAGTATCATGGAGCGGTGACTTTTGCCTTATTTTATGCTATTCTCATCATCCATCGCTCACGGCTAGCCGATTTTGTTGATAATGCGGATGAACAGCCGCTCTGATTAGTTACCACACTGGTAACTGAAAATGATAAGCACAGGAATCGGAAAAGGCATCGTTCCGCAGATGCACCCAGCAGCTGCGCGAAAGAAACCATGAACTAAGCAACTGAGCTTCAGCTTCGGATCGTCTGCGGCTTTACAGTAAATTCAATCTTTAACATTTTGATGCATTTTCAGAACCCGAAAACACGTCGATGAAGTGTAAAACATGTGTTTGCACCACCAGAAACCACCGCTGTTCAACTATAGTGTACATGAATATGGGGTAGTGTGTTCAGGAGGAGCCATGGCTGACGCATTTGGTATCGACAGCCATGAGATGGCGCCACCTTAGCATGGGCTGTCACCTCACGCTTTGCTTTTTATGCAATTCTGTGCTTCTATATTAGTAATGGCAGGAGTTTAACGTCCCAAAACCAGCATACGATTATGAGAGACACCGTAGAGGAGTTCTCCGGGAATTCGACCACCTGGGGTGCTTTAACGTGCACCGAAAATCTAGGTACACGCACCTCAGTATTAGCACCTCCGCCGAAAAAGCAGGTGCCGCGGCCGGGATTCGATCCCGTGATATGCGCTTGCATACGTAATTGCCGACACGTCCGCGAAAAGCTTTCGAACGGGTTTGTTTGTACTGCATTCAAAACAAAACCAAATAAAATGGCAAAACCTCCACCCACGGTTTAAATGCAGGTATTAACAAACGATGGCGAAACAGTCATACCTGCGTAAACTGCATGATATTTTGAAAGCTCGGTTGCTGAACGAATAAAAAATTAGAAATATTGAGGTATCGAAGGAGCATCTATAAACCGGAAAGTTTCTTGTTATATTACTGCTATATCGAGTCGTAATCTGCACACTGCGACAGCTTCGACTTCCTTCGTTACGCGCGCGGCACCGTTGTTGTCTGTAATTGCATCATGCAATTTTAATTATGTTGCGAAGGTGACAAAACTGCCATTTGATTGAGAGGCACACCGTAGCTGAAGAGTTAGGAATAATTTTGACAATCTTAGGTCTTTAAACGATTATGCGCCCGCCAAAATACTGCAGCTGTGGCCGGGATATTGCACTGTACCGTCAAATAAAAACATCACTTGGCACCACTGTCAGACTGTAAGTAGAAACCCTTTATTTACGAGCGCGTATACTGCAGTGAGTAGTAACACCGATCAAATTCGACGCCATTCCGTGGAATTATCAGTTCACGATCACTTCATCACGGTGGCACCTTTATACGAACAACGACTGATTCTCGTGTACAGCTTTTTTTTTTCGTTTTGCCTCTCGAGACTGGTTGGTGCAGTTTTTATATACGTTCCGCTTGATGTTTAGCGGCAGATTACCATTCATGCTTTTAGAATGCTTGGCGAATGGAATCCACCCTCTCTTTATTCTTCTAGTTACATTGCTCTCATGGTTCTGCTCCACGGATGCCTTTCTTAGAGTAGACGTATTCCTTCCCAGCTTTCAACGTCTCTCCACCCATTGCAAAAGGCTGTTTTCTGCCGAGACTGTTACACATTAGCTTTATGCATACTATTCTTTAGACCTATTTTCCTGCCTTCAGAGTCCAGTTCAGTAATCTTGAGCTGTAATTCGTCACCTGAGTTACACACATCAAGGCAATATCACCAGCGAATCGCAGCTTACTAAGATACCCTTCATTAACTCTTATCCGTAACACTTCCCAATCTAGGGTCCTGAAAACTTCCGGTAAACACGCGGTGAATAGCATTGGGGAGATCGTGTCTTCCTGCCTTACGCCCTTCTATATTGGGATTTCCTCGCTCTTTTTGTGTGTGTGTGGAGAAGTATGGTGGCTGTAGATCCACGACAGATTTCTTCCAGTATGTTTATGTAGGATTGTTCGATGCCCTGTTTCAGTAGTGCCTGCAATACTGCTGATGTCTCGACTGAGTCAAATGCCTTCTCGTAATATATGAAGGTTATATATAGCGATGAGTTGTATTGCGCGCATTTGTCCATTACCTAATTGATAGTCTGAAGATGGTGTAATGTAAATTAGCCTGAACAAAATCCTGCTTAGTGCTTTGGTTGGCCGAACTCTAATGTCGCCTTAATTCTATTAACTATTCTGTTCGTAAATAGTTTGTAGAGAATGTACAGTAAGCAGACTGGCCTGTAATTTTCAAGTTCTTGACGTCTCCTTTCTTATGAATTCAGATGATGGTGGCGTTCTTCCAAGATTCTGGTACCCTTCCCGTCAAGAGACACTTAGTATGCAAGGTGGCCAGTTTTTCTAACACAATTTCTTCACCATATTTCGGGAGGTCCATTATTTTATCCTCACCAGCGGCTTTGCCTCTTTGCATTCCTTCTAGGGCTTTCCTTACTTACCCTCTCGTTACTAGTAGGATGTTGAATTCCTCTGGACTATTATTGTATCTCAATGTAATTTTTCTGGCTGTTTTGGCTTCTCACAGCTCTCTGTAGAACCCCTTCACCACCTCGACTGTTCTATCAATATTGAGTATGACATTGCCTTCTTTGTTGCTTAATGCATACATCCAATTTTTGCCTAACCACAAGTTTGCCTTTGCAGATTTTAGGCTTCTGGCGCATTTTACGGTCTGCTCAATTATCCCCATGTTATACCTTCTGACGTTGGCTACCATACATCTATTGATTAGCCTAGAAAGCTCCATTAGCTCTATTTTGTCGGTTGCATTTAAGGCTTGCATGGTTTGTCGTCTCTTAATAGGATTTTTCGTCTCCTGAGATTGTTTGCCAGTGTCCTGTCTAGTGACTGTACCTGCCACTTTCATTGCACACTCTTTGATGATACTTGTAAAATAATCGTTTATTGTATGAACGCTAACGTCGGTTACCTCGTTTAGTGCCTCGAATCTATTCACCAGTGAAACTTTGAATTCCTGTACTTTCCCTCCCACCGCTAGTTCATTGATTGGCTTCCTGCGTATCATTTCTTTGTCTTAGCTTTTTTTTTAATCCAGTTGAACACGAACTTTCACTGTTATATGGTCATTGCTTCTGATCTTGCCAACTACTTCTACATGCTCTACAATGCCTGGGTGTGCTCACAAAATGAAGTCTATTTTATTTTTAGTTTCGCCACTAGGACTTCGCCGCGTCTACCTACGGTTATCTCGTTTTCTGGCGAAGGTATTCAGGATTCGTAAATTATCACGTTCTATGAACTCTGCTAATAACTCCTCTCTGTTATTTATTGAGCCGATGACATATTCCCCCACTGCATGGTCTCTGGCCTGTTCCTTGCCTACTTTGGTATTAAGGTCGCCCATCTCAATAGTACACCTAAACTTTACTTTATTAATGGCTGACTCCACGTCTTCTGAGAAACGTTCAACCAAATGATCACCAATGCTCAATGTAGGCGCGTAGGTCTTTACTGTATACCTTCATCTTGCACCTTTTGTTAAGCCTAATTATGATACTTGCCACCCTCTCATTGATGTTGTAGTATTCATATTTGTTGCCAGCGATATTCTTGTATATAAGAGACCCCACCCTAGTCCTTTTTTGTCAACTAATCAACAGTAGTGTAGGATGTGTCTATTCTTCCCCACAGTATAAGCCTCATGTATCTGAACATCGCCGAGCTCTATTACATCCCATTTACCAAGCTCCAATTCCTCGAGTAACACAGCTGGACTAGCCTCAATAGATAGCGTTCTAGCCCTAAAGGTAGCCAAGTTCAGATTCCAATTGCGACCTGTCCAGACCCAGATATTTTTATCACCCTCCACTGCGTCGCAGGTCAACATGTGCATGGAGTGTTCCTCCGTAGACCCTGCCGTCTAGGTGGGCCGCTGCTCTGTGAAGGTCAGATCTCGGCATCCAAACGTGGACAGTCCCGCAAGCCCACGAGTCGCCGCTGAGGCAATGCCTTGACGTTTTCCCGTCGAAGACCTAAGCCTGAGTCGCGGTAAACCTTGCCGGATGCTTAATAACATTGTATCTATTCGTCGATCAATTTACGATCGCGTCATACGCACCCTGCCAGGCCCCTGGTATCGGCTACGATGAGAGGGATGTCGTTCTCGTGGGTGAAGGTGGCCATGGACAGCTGAGCCTCGAGCGGGGTTTCGGTCAACACAACAACCTGCATGATTGGGTAGTAAGCGAAAGAATTAAACGCTGTAGTTACTGCCTCACAGGACGAAGCTGAAACCTGCTGTAAATAACGCCATACCTGTTACGATTCTCTGTGCTTTAAATTATGTTTCCCCACAAATTTGCCTCATATTAGGCCCCGCCAAAAACTGAAATTCATTCAAGTGAGAAAAGGCCGTCTGAGAATCCGGTTACGAGCACGAGTTCAGCTTAGCTCAACGGAATTAGGTGTTCAAGCATTCACACCAATTAGAAAGAGAGAGAGAGAGAAATGACGACGAGTATTCAAATGGTTCAAAATTACAAGACTCTTCAGCTTGCGATGGTGGCTTTGTTTACATAAAACCATTGTCAACTTCGATACGACAGAACCTAACGTCTCATTTTTGGTGAGCATTTCTTGTTTTTTTTATCATGCTCTTTTCCTACCAGGTGAATTAACATCAAATCTACGGTTTCAAGTATCAACACTTCATAGAGAGATTCCATGTAGAATACCAGGTCATTTTGTTGCTGAAACATCCATTGCCAATTTCAGTTTTGTTTATTTTAGTGCAGTGAATTGAAGGCATGATTTCCACAGATTAGGGCAGATAACTTTCCAAATGAATTTGCTGTGCGGCAAATCGCTTCTTGCGTGAGTGACTGCAGACATATTGAAACTTGACTGGTCTTCAAAAACACGCAGTTCAATAAATTTCACATTCAGATGAACACGCTTTAGAGCACACATATGGACTCTACAGCAGACATGTTTCTTGAAAAAAATATTTAACAATTTAGAGTACTTTGTACTCTACTACGGGAGAGCAGTAGGTGGAAATAGTCGGGAACACAATTATCTTTAGCGGTCATGAACACGATCCCGAGGCGCTGTTTTAGACCATTCAGTTTAAACGTTCAAAGACTGGTTGTTTTCAACACAGCTGTTTCATTCCTGAAGAACCCTGCATTGAAATCGAACTTTTCTGCTCTTCCATGTTTAGCTGCTAAAAGTAGCTTGTTAGCGCTACTGAGGAACCAGCTGCCAGGTAATTTCAAATATTATGCATGTTTAGTACGTATGTGAGAGAATGACACCTTTAGAATAAATTGTAAACGCTTTACAACCCTCAGCGGCCTCTACGGCAGACGCGTGTTTAGAAAAAAACTGTTTAACAATTTGAAGTACTTCGTACTCTACTGCGGGAGAAATTAAGCCATCCCTAGTAGGGCTATTTACTCAGTTACAACTGGTGGTGTGTTTAGAAGAAGTGTTTAACAATTTGGAGTACGTTCTACTCAACTATCAAAGAGAAGTGAGCCGTTGCGATGACTGCACTTCACAAGAACTGGTGGTTAATGCCCCATGGTGAGTTAAAGTAAGCATCAACAACCGTTGCGGTAGCTGGTGGATAAAGACGAATTGACTCGTGAAGCTGGATGTCAGTAAGCATGGGCGACTATAGGTATCATAGGGCACATGAGCATGAAGCGCGCCTCGTTCGCCTATTTTAGAGCGCTTCACTAGTGCTACACATATGATTAATGCTCACAACTTCACTGGTTGTGAACCAAACGCTTTCCGCAATGTCTTAATTTTTTTCTTGAACGTTTTGTCTATTTTCACTGACACCGAATTTTTTAAGGTAGTTGGTAATTGTGAACTACCAAAGTGGCGCAAAATTGTCTTCAGGTCAGATTATTCTAGGCAAGGGGATATATCCGCCAGAAAACGCGCTGCTGATATAAAGCAAAGTTTCACACACTTCAGTTCGTGACGTGAAACTGACGCCTAACGCTAACGTAACGCATTAGGTCTACGAATTGTCGTTGCTGCAGATCTCGAATGACCTTGACTAACTAGGACAAATACCTAACTTAGCGAGATAAATAATTGCTACTACCAAAATAAACGTTTCAGATGTCGATTGCTTGTGTAAGCGTTGTTCAACTTTTTTCTTTTGGCAGTTCTACGCGTTAGTAACATATACCTTTCCAAGGTCCTTAAATAACCGTAAATTTTTAAAAAGATTCTGCTGCTTTATATTATTAGAAGCATGTACAGGTACTCACAGAGAATTTTTTCAGGAAATCATTCGTCAGCGGCTCCATATGAGTTGTCACCTGGACGTACTGATTCAGTTGTGCCAGAGATGTCTCAGATGCACTTGCCCGGTTTTGACCTACAGAATCTTCACTGAGGAAATACTGGAACAAACAAAATTATTTAGCGAACGTCGCTGGTGTAATTTACAGCAAATGCGACAACTTCATAATGCAGCAGTCAACCTTCAAATGATGGTTAACACAGTGACTCTTTCAATGTTTTGATTTTGTTCGTTAAGGTCATGAGTAAAATCTAACAGCTACGACAAGACAATACAAATGTTCTTTGTGGGTTACCCTAAAAAACCCCTACACATGCATGAGTGTATTGGCCACATTGTACTGGACGATCTGCTTAAACTACTAGACGCTGCTCAGTGATTTCAATAATTGAGCGGTTGTCAATAATTCGAACATTAGAATTTCTGATCATTCGGTGCACGATTCAATTCTCCGTCTGGTGCTAAAAAGTTATTTCAGGAATAACAATCATGAAGGATTCGTAGTCCTTTGAGATGTACATGAAGCGATTATTTTCAATATAGTATTCTTAATTATTCTTAACAAAACATTATGTTTTGTTAAGAATAATTTCAGCTGCTTCTGAAATTCCCATGCAGGTCTTCGTTTTCAAGACAATAGTTCGACCCACAGTTCAAACTCACTTAGAAAAAAGACTAATAGAAATGATGTATAATTAGAAATGGGCAGCTATACAACAGAGTAAGCGCGCACAGAGCAGGGTAGATACGACGTCGTTGGTAAAAGCACGCGTCTTGCATTAGACGTTAAAAAAGACTGGCACTGAACTTAGATTTTTATTGTGTGTGAGGGCGCATCGCAAATGTTGAGCCGAGTCAGTTCAAACCGTGAATACTGTTCGCGCGTTAAACCAAAACATTTTGTTGACCAACTGAAAACAAATGCACCTTTTGAGAATGTTCTAAGTGTGTTTTGTAGAATACTGTAAGTTATGAATTGTAGCCGGTGAGTTTACAAAGTGCATTTTTTTATAGGCTTTACGGAGCGAAATCAGTTTTGAGGTATTTACTCCCAAGGTGCATGCCGAACTACATTATAGTTTTATGTAGAAGTTATTTTTGAGGCACCAAACTGAATCTTCGTTGCATGATAAACAGGAACACTAGTGTTGATTTAACGCACGTCTGTTGGTACGCATGTCTCGAAATACGCCCCAGGCTCACATTTCAACACTACTGAACACACCTTGAGAAGTAGACGGCCAAAATTTCTGTATTGTATTAAGCTCTGCATACTCATTGTACAGTTCACAAGTAAGGTATGCGCGAAGATCTATGCATGGGCACTGAAGGGATGCCTTCAAATCGTATGCGTACGTTAAAGCCTGCAATGAATATAGTTTAGTGTTTAGGAATTTCTTCTGCTGTTTAAATCTCAGCTGGTAGTTTAAATGGAAGTTTCTAACAACCCTGGAGCAACACAACCAAAACTTAGCAATTTGTCTCATTATAATTAAAACAGCGAAAACCATGACAGCACTGTTTTTCTCACCTGAGACGAGAGGTCTGCCGCAGTGCACGCCGCCTCATCGTGAATGGTGACAGACCTGACGCCGGCGAGGACGATGTTCTTGGCGATTTCGATGCCCAAGCCTCCCATGCCCGAAATGAGAACGTCCGATTGGGCCATGCGGGCCATGGCGTCACGCCCAAGCACATAGCTGAAACGGCAGTCGTTTGCGACTTGTTTTGTTTATGAGGGTGGTTGTGTGCGAGCGTGTTCGCTTTGCATTTCAAACAGGTACCAGGTAGGTTATGTGGGAGAGAGAGAGAGAGTTCCGACTTTGGATTTGTCCGAAAGGAAGCACAATTCACCACCTTCCCCTCCCCCATCTCGACCTCAAACATTGCAGGCCGCGAGCTGAAGGAAGGCCCAGTCGCTGTCGTTTTGTTTTGCATATATAGGTATAGCATACTGCTGAAATGAACAGGACATGATTTCACCAGCACGTGTTGGTTACAACATTGATTCAATTGTCTTTTGTGCCTCCCACAATGCACAGTTACCTCAGCCACCGCAGAAACCTTGTTCCGTTTCATCCCCTTTTCAAAATGAGAAAAAAAACTATGTTTGTTAATTTAAGAGTTCTATTAGCAGTAGTAGTAGTAGAATGAGTGGGGCTGGCAGTTACTACAGTACTGTAGTGATTATTATTATTATTATTATTATTATTATTATTATTATTATTATTATTATTATTATTATTATTATTATTATTATTATTATTATTATTATTATTATTATTATTATTATTATTATTATTATTATTATTATTATTATTATTATGAAGGCATAGCTTCACTTCTGTACAGTGAGATTACCTTTTTGTTCAATAACAAACCGAAAAAATTTGTCGCAGTAAATATTAGGAATGAGTACTAATTATAATGCTCGAGGATTTAAGCTAAAAAATATAAGGCTTATCGGCTTGTGTCCACTGCCTTTAGTAGGGTTATTTTGGTGTAATTTTGAGAATAATGCGTAGATCAGGGTCACCTTTATAGAGACGAGATTCGTCACGCGTACACATGACTAAACCTAGCCATTTCGAATACCAATCGTATCAATGTCGCATTTGAATTCATGAATACTGCATCTGTGCTATGGTGAAAACGCACTTCAAATGGCATAAACCGCATGTTTTAGGTGCGCAAGCGAAGCGTATCTTTATGACTGGAACAAAGCGATGGGCTGTCTGTACTGAGTTACTGAGTTGTTCGTTCCATTTCGTTCACTCACAAAAGCCCTACAGACGTCGGCTCTTTCATCCAGACATACGCGTCACGCGTGTTCTAAATCACCAACTTACAGCTGTCTTGAGTAGAAGCTCTCATCAATGTCCGGCGATTTCTGTTCTGATGAGCCGGACTGTGCCGCTTTTTCCTGCGTAGGGTGAGAAGTGCAAATGTTAGGAAAAGACTGAATCATAGCTAGAAGCACACCAAAACAAGTCTCAGTGATATCACTTGCAACGTGGGAAAAGTTGCGCATAGGAAAATAAAAGCAGGTACTGAAACCCGTTTTAACTGCAAAAAAATAATAATAACAGACAAAATTAAAGAAAATATAGTTTGGCAAGTTTCACTGTAGTTGTACGTGGTTCGTCAATTGAGCTCTGTCATTGTATTCTCTATGATCCTCACCCCTGTCCTGCGAATTTTTCGCGCCAGCAAAGCATCTACTAATTCTGGAAAGCTTACATATTTAGACGTGAGTGTAGGCCAAGATCGACCTACAAAATGCACTCTGCACCTAACTACCCTAACGATGAGCTGTACTGACTGCAATATCAACCATGCGATCATTTCGTATGACATGCGGTCATCTAAGGTCATGATTTTTCATAATTGCGTCACAAACGTGGCGATAGGCGACGTCGCGATGACAGTACATCACGTCATAAAGCCGAAATCTCCAATCTTGTGACTTTTTGCATCGTGAATGTTGAAGCTGCCTCTGACGCATTTCTCTCGTTTTAGGCGCCGTCTACGCTTTTGTCTTAAAATGTAACACTTCATTTGGACCATAACGATCAAATTTGTAACTAGCGTTGAAAGTTGGCTGACCTAACGGGATGCTATACGCTGTTTGTTGAAATAGGAACAGTGTCGTACCACTTTGTCGAAGTATTTATAAAAATTGTTGTTTATACTGATATCTGTCGCTTATCTGGCTCCATACTTCATTTATGAAATACCTCAATATACTCCATATTCTGCAATCTCATACTTAACCCACTCCGTTCATTTTAATCATGGTTTTAAGAACACACGCACCGCCACTTAAGAGAGCGGTTTGTGGAAGATGAGTTTCCGTCGGTACTTATGCCGCTATAAGCGATGTTCTCATGAATATTGCGTTGGTAATTTATCGGGTCGTCTGATTTTCTTCGGCAATTGGGTGGATGTCAAACAGCGAGACAATCTCGCCGTCATGGGCGTATAAGTATAATAAGTGTGCGCTCCCTCACCGCCTCTTGCGACGCGTCGCTTTCGCCCGTCTTTTGTCTCTTTGCCGGAGGAGAGGGATCTTCCTCGTTTTTCGAGCCATCCGTAGTGCCCAACAAGTTCCCCATAGGACTCCGTCGTTGCGACAAGCCTTGACACCTTCCTGCCTGTCGTGATACTGGACGGGTGCTGTCTCTGCTAGCCGATGTTTCGACAGCCTTGCGACTGCCTACGGCGCCGCGACAGGAGCACGGAAGAGACCCCCACGAACCGCGTGCCCTCGCAGAGAACGTTCTCGGATGTGTCGTCTCCTGAAGACGACAACGATGTAGCGCGCGCGCAAATGAACCACTGGTGCTTCGTCACGAGTGCGCAAGGCGTTTTCTAACGCAGGTGGGATTCGTGTGCTTTGTACCTACTACGGGGCACATAGAACTGGTAAAACCAAGGAGGATTTAAAAAAATTAAAGCTGCCGCGATGCCTTGCAAGCAGAATTGAAGCCAGCTTTTGCCACTGCCAACATGTCGGAAACATGCACTTTCCTGATAGCCGCCACTTAAAGATCAACTGGCTTTGATATGATAGTGTAAATGTTACGTTAGTTTTATATTAAACGATAGTCGTTTCCGACAAAATAGCACACATAAACGAGTATGGGTAACTGAATTCCCCAAGAACTTTGCCTTCAATTAGAGGCTCACTAAGGAAAACTACTAAGACCCTGTTGGAGCACTATGTGACCCGAGAAACTTTCCCCATTACACTTGTTGGGCCAATGCCTCTTAGAAAAACTATGCCTGGAACGTGGCTCTCTCTTCAATTGAGAGCTTGCTGCCAGCACAAAATCTTGGAGGCCGTGCCTCCAACCGCGTGTTGCGACCGTCCGCCGCGTGGGACCGCTCGCCTCCGTACCGCTCTGTCACGTGACATTACAGCTGCTCGGAGGCAACTGTGAGAACATTGCTGTGTTCGCAGGGGGTGACAGCCAGAGGCGTTCACCTCCGTACCGGAGGGGGAGGGTAAAATCCGAGGGTAGGGCGGCGCGTTCGCGGCTGACGTTCCAGGCATAATTTTTCTAGGGGGCGTTGGTTGGGCGTGTGAGGGAAACGCTCCGTTCTCAATCGCTGAACGGTTACCTTATCATGCCCCTAGTAAGATGGGCGCTGCATCTGCCATCTTGTCAGAGGCACGGCTTCACTCATAGGCAACGATTTCCCCTCCAGCACTTTTTTTAATCCTCCTTGGGTAAAACCTTGGTTTGGTCTGTTATGGAGAAAAAGAGATGTGGATCCTAAACTTCTGGCTGACGCCCGCTCATTGGGATTGGCCAAAAATCGCTTAGCTTAGAAAAAAAGTACACTGATTTAAATGTTAGCGAAGAGAATAACTTCTCATTTTGTACAATCAAGCTATTGTCTTCTTTTTTGAGGGGAAGGAATAATCTTGAGAACGAAAAAACAGAGATTATCATCATAAACCAGCACGCGCTCTCTCCATCATCTTCATGTTCTGCTTCGCTTCTAAAACACGTGCACCGATTTGTTCAGCGTATACTTAATCGTTCATCAAATGACAACCAGCAACTGCGGCGGACACGTCTTAGGGGGGTGTCTGACCAGTTCTCCAGGACCAAATAAAGTTCATTTCACTTCACTTCACATGAAAACCTTTCTAACAAAAGAAGTGTAAATTTGCAGAGCCCTCCACTACGGCGTCTGTCACAATCATGTGGTTGTTTTGGAACGTTAAACCCCACAAATCAATCAATTACCAAAAGAAGTAGTTTCGAACAAAGGAGTAGTTTCGCACGACTTATCGAGAGCCGCGTTGCGCGTGCCCGAATAGCAAGGACGTTACACGGCGCACCGCAGAAAGCATGGAAGCTCCTGGAGTGACGTGTCACTAGTGAACTACCGCTTGATTCGCGCGAGCTCACTCGCTATGCCATCCATCTATGCGTACGTGCACCTGTCTGTCCATTTGTCTATCCATCCATCCGTAGCTGACGCTACGTATATTCTTGCATAGCCGAGCTGAACCAATGCTAAATTTTTTGGCGAGGCCGTATTTGAACACGCGTACACAGGACCACAAAACGTGCATTTCAACCACTCGGGTATCTAGACTAGGCACGCTGTGGTAAAGCATGTCATAGTTTTGTGTACTATAGCATAGTAAGGCGTTTTATAAGGAATTGAGGGTGAGGAGGAGAGGTCAAAAGATTAGGCGGAGCGAAAGGTGGAGGGCACAGAGTAAAGCATAGCACACAAGTAATGAGAGACAAAGAAATAGAGATATAAAATAGATAAAAAGAAACACAAAGAGAGAAGTAAAGGGAGAGAGAGAAAGAGATAGAAAATGCTGCAAATGAGAAATAGAGAGGAGGCAGAGATAGAGAGAAGGCTGCAAATAGAATTTAACAAAGCAATAAAAAGACCTAAAAACAGAGAGAGAAGACAAAGGGATAGAAGAAAGGAAGAAATAAAGGAAAAAAACTAAAGGGAAACAAAGAATGATGAGTGCGGCAAGTTGGGCGGGTTGGTATGGATGCATAACTTCGATATCTTAGTGCCAAAAAACGGAGACAAAAGAAAGAGACGTAGACAACATAAGCGCTAACTTCAAACCACGTTTATTTGGAAACAAACATGAATATACATGAACTCAAACAGCACAAATCTTATGCTTTTCTCTCTTACAGATTTAGCACTATCCAATATCATACAAAAACAAGGAACGTATAATCAGGAAATAAATAAGTAAATGCGCATGCGTAACTGGAACGAAATAATTTTAGAAAAAACTTCCAACAGCTTTCCAAAAAAAAAACCCCTGCAAACGAAAAATTAAACATCAACTGCGCAGGCCTATCTCGGTGAAACTAAGAAAACATGCTCATTCGGAATCAAAATTTCTTATCGTGAAGGAGTACAATATGCTGAGTCACGCATTTAGCGCCATGTTTTCGTATGATGCAGGCCTCAACTGTTTCTCGGGTTAGTTGCTCACTGAGACGAAATGGCACAGCTGTTTGTTCAGACAGTGGAGTGCAGCCATTGTGATGCCAAGTGGGACGACGGCATACCTTTCAATGAGCTAGAACAAAAAAGGTCATGCAGCTCTGCAACTGCTTCAGACTTGACAATATTAGGGTGAAGCTGCTTTTGTTTGAGAGGTATTGAAACAAAAACATTGGCCTTGCGTTTTCCGGCTGCATTATGTTGCTGGAGGCCTGTTGGTCATAACAGGACACATCGTTTGCTGCAACATGCAACTGATGTATAGTTACGGGCCCCTCATCATCAATCAGTTTGAATTTCGGTTTTTAGAGAGAATCAGCAACGAGAAGCCATCGGGTGCAACTGTCGCCATCTTAGCGTCTGCCGCTCTCGACAACGTCAGCACTCAGAACTGCGACACACTTTCGCACGGTCAGTGCACCGCATCGAGGCTTACTTTCGGATAGGAAACGGGACTGCAATGCCGCCAAACGCAACATTTTCAAAGTGTGTGCCACTGCGACGCACTTGCGACTATAGCCGCCGAGAGGTATAGACTGCGGGAACAAACGCGGCGAAAGCAAAAAATGTTGGCCATGACGTCATCATAGCTGGTTTCATTCACTGCAGCGTTGTGACGAGAGGGAAAGTAGAGGGTCCCCACAGGGTCCCCTTGGAGGGTATCAATGGCACGATGCAGTCAAGCGCTCACGCAAACTTCAGACTTTAAATTACCTCCAAACTATATTCGCTGTTGGTTTTTTGCAGATAATATGCTGGCGGTAATACATTCCACAGACTATGAGAGCAGGCCTATCTCGCACCCAGGCGCCTTCGGTGGTATACCCTCACTCCCAGAGACTCCATATTTTGTTTGGAACTGCCAAGGCGCGCCTCGCTAGCATGGTATGCAGTGGCTCTGGGAGTTTAAAATGCAAAAAAAGTGCCAGTTCACGCTGCGCCCGCTTATAAAATGTCATCTGGGTACCACTGCGCTGTCATCTGATGCGACAACAAACGGCGCAAGAAGAAGAGATGGCTGAGCACCACCTGTAAAGTTCACAGCGCGTCGCGGGAATCGTGCCGGTGCGGTGTTTTGCGATTGCACAGATTTCCATCCATAACGAAAAAACGCTGAGCTCGGCCGTCCTATAGGATATAATCGCAATCAGCAGCAAAAGTACGAACTTATTGCGTTTATTCAAGTGCGACTCCAGTTATTACACTTCACAGCAGCGATATGCGTGCCGTATGCCTGTAGTATGTGGCACAAAACTATTGCCGTACTATTGCACAGGCTGCATGTCAATATTAGGATATACGTATTACGACTCACGCGTGGATGCACGGCCCGCGCATGTTCAGTACAAGTGTAACAGCCTACAGTCACTAGGCGAATCTACATATGCTTTCAGCCGGCGTCACCGTAGCCTTTTAAAATCAATTGCCAGCCCTCCAGTGCCTGGCAGGACTGGCAATCGATACACATGTGGTACATTAGCATGAGTTGGAACCAGATTCTAGCGCTACGTTGACGCCGACTTACAGCACAAATTCTGCCTTGTCATAGCCAAGGCACGCCGCAGTTAACGCTGTTCGCGTTTCTTTCAGTCGGATAATACGTACCTGATGAAGTTGCTTCTGCAGTCTGCAATCAGCCGCGTGGCAGTTGAGAGTGTTGCTTCGCCGCGCTTGCAACAGATGGCGCCACACGCTTTTCAATATGGCAGCAAGCACTGAGCTCGCTGTGTTTTGGGGTATATTGACCGTGAAATTTTGTGTCAGTACCCATTTAGGCAGCGCGTTCCGGAGTTTAGTGACGTCACCGTTGGCATTGTCAGCGTAATTAAGAGAGCAAATGAGGACGAAAAAGAGCCATCGCGGAGTCTCCATACGGCGAGCCACTGGCCCGCCACGCGCTCTCCTTCCCCTTCCCCCTCCCACTACGGTCGGAGCTCGTGCCCTAGCAGAGCTGACATGTTCACTGCCACTGGCTTCGCTAATCTTACAGGGGCTGTTGGCATTTCACTTGGTGCGCGACTCCTGCAACGCTTGCAACTCACAGTGTAGACCACGAGCGTTGGAAGTTTTTGCGGCACTGCGTCACGTATGATTCATTTCTACAACG